CTATTTGTCCATGTAACATTTGTTCCATGGCTCAGCCTTAGCAACTGCATAGCAATGTAATAGCAGCTCTGAGAACTGAGGCACAGGATGTGCCCAGGCCCCCCATCTCAGTAACTTCAAGTTAAAATCTGTTGCAACTTTCAAATAGACAATACAATATTATTAATTATAGTCATCATGCTGTACATTATCTCTTCAGAGCTTTTTCATCACTGGAAATTTGTACCCTTTGACCACTACCTATTTTCCCCTTCCTGGACTTTTTTATTTTCTATATATTGCACTGCTTTATAGTTATGAATGAGGTGTTTTTATTCTGTTATTTCATGTACATATGGAATATATAAATCAAGGTATTATGTACCTAAGGTGTGAGTATTTCAAGATCAAGCAAAGAATAGACAATATATTTGAATTTGAATAGCACGTTTATATTTGAATTTCAACTATTACCTCAGGTGGGTATGTTTAAAGCATTATGTTACTGCTTTTTCTTTTTTTTTTTATATGTAAACTAACAGTAAATCTCATTTAATACCATGCTTTATTTTAGATCCTAGATTTTGTGACAGAGTTGTTTTCTTTTCTTTTAAATATATTTTATTGATTTTTCACAGAGAGGAAGGGAGAGTGATAGCTAGAAACGTCGATGAGAGAGAAACATCAACCAGCTGCCTCCTGCACGCCCCCTACTGGGGATGTGCCCGCAACCAATGCACATGCCCTTGACCGGAATCAAACCTGGGACCCCTCAGTCCCCAGACCGACGCTCTACCACTGAGCCAAACCGGTTTCGGCCAGAGTTGTTTTCTTAATCATGAAATAAACATAGAAGTGAAAGCTATTTATTGAGGGCTTATGAATGATCACGAATTATGGCTTCATTTTCCTGGGTGTTTGTATAGTTCATCTTAACTATATTCAGTGTATTTTATGTACTCAGAAGTAATATGGTATAATGGTTGTGAGTACTAATTTTGGAGTAAAAAAAATATGGATTTGAAGACCTTGCTCTGCTACATACTAACTGGTCAGGGAAATATTTTATAACATTTTTACATAGTCATATTTTGGGCCTATAGTTAGATACAAAGGCAAATAAGACAACTTATAGACTTGCATAAATGTGTTTATTTTAAGCTTTTGCCAAGGATAATTTTCTTCCACATAAGTTGTAGAAACTCTTTTTAATCATTACATAATGGCATTATATTGCAGTTAGCACATGAAGTAGAGTTTATGTAATTGTGTTCCCTCTTCACTATCTCCACTCCCATTTTCCTTCTTCCTTCTTTGAGGAATACTAAAAAAATAATTTATGCAAGTGGTCATCAATTAAAACTAATGCTTTTATTTATAAAAATATAAATTCCACCAGACATTAACATAAGAAGAATAGTGGCCCGGTACATGAAATCATGCACATTAAAAGGGAATTAATTAGAGGAAATATTTTAATATTGTTTTTTGCCCTTTCTCTATAATAGAAGTGTCAGAGATTAAAGAAAATAAGATGTATATGAAAATCTCCCTCCTGTCAGAGTCTGGGGTGTGCCGCGGGACCCAGAGACAAGTCCCGGCTTGCACCTTGAAATTGTGGGAGACTCAGACCCAGCCGGCCCAACCCTTGTCTAACGCTGCAGGGCGGAGGGGCTGCAGGGTGGAGGACGCAGCCTCAGGTCCCCCGTCAAACCCTGCTGGGAGGGGAGGGGGCAGCGCAGCCTCAGGTCCCCCAGCGCCAGGCAGGGGATGCAGCCTCAGGTCCCCTGGCCCAACCTCTAGGCCCCCCCAGCCCCAGTGCCAGGAAGGGGGGTTGTGGCCTCAGGTCCCCCGGCCCCGGCATAAGGGCGTGAGGGTGTGAGGGCATGATGACCACTTACATATTAGTTCTTTATTATATTGGATTATTTCTAGCTCATTCTATTTCTTCTCTCCCCTCATTACTCTCCCTCTTCCCCTCCATGAAAAGTCCATATTTGTATATATGCTTTTTGTTTACTTGAAAGACTGATGTTTTCCACTGCCCTCAGTCTAAAGGACCACCGACTTTCATTGTAACCTATAATAAGAGACATGCCTGGAGTTAGCTTGAATATTTATGTCTTTAATCTTTTAGTACAAAGTTAAGCAAATATGAAAAATTCTGGAATTCAGCTTTGGCCTTTTTAAATTAATGTGTGCTTTATTGAATATGGCAATATTTGATGTTAAACATTTTATTTAAATATTTTAATTTAATGATAACTTTTTACCTTTTTTTTCTAGGCAGTGAGTTAATATTTATCACATTTATGGTATGTGTCAGGATATGCTAGACACATTACATTAGTAAGTTCATTTAATCCTCACAATAGCCCTATAAGTTAATTCCTCCTAACAGGTTACTGACCTATTAAGTGACAGAGCAAAGATTTGAACCTAGAGTTAATGGCAGAACCTGTATACATTCAGAGTCAGATGACCCTAATGCCAGCATATAACTGCAGTATGAATTTAGTGTATGTTTATTTGACTTAATGATACCTGTTTTGATGTATGCTGAGACTAGAGTTCGTTATATTTGAGTGTAGCAACTTCTCTTGGGCAAAAAGGTTCTAAAAATAAAAGAAACTAGCTGGTGGGGGCTTTTTTGTTTTTGTTTCTGCTATGGAGCCTACCATTAACTGATTTAAAATCTTTGATGAAATGATACATGCTCATATATCATGTATTCCTGAAAATATTTTGCGTCTTACCTGATTTTGTTCAGAAAAATTACATTTAAAACTATAGTGTATGTATTTAAGGGTTTTTGTTTTATTCTGTACAAATGTTTTTACTTTTATTATAGAAACCTTCTAATATATGGAAAAGTAGAAATAGTAGTATTACAAGACCATATATATTTATTACTGTTTTAATAATTATCACTGTATGTTCAATCTTGTCTTGCCCCTCATGAGTCTATATATTTTTCTATATTATTGAATATCTATGATATCAAATAATTTGAGGCAAGCTGAATGTCCCATCAGTAGAAAAATCAGTTTAAATGATTACATATTAATTCAAGGTAATACACAGCCTTTAAAAATAGTAATGAAGAAATGTAACTTTAAAAGAAAATTTCTATTAATATGATCTGTTAAATGAAAAGAAAAATATATGAAATGGTATACATGCTGTGATTTGAGATACTTGTTTATAACCTAAATTCTACCTGAAAATTTTATATATCCTTTATACCTTAGTTTCAATGCTGTGTTTTTTAGAAAAGCCTGATTTCCTTCTCCAGTTCTCCCAAGCAGACTTTCCCAAATACACCCTTTGGACCTGTATCTACTGTGATTTTAGCAATTGGCAGATTTATAACTGTTAAGGGGCAGGACTGGGTTTTGTGTGGGTCTTTTTTCATATTTTCACCCCTATCTCCTAGCACTGTGTGCCTGGCAGAGCATAATTAATATTTAGACTTATGCTCAGTGTAGAACTGATATTTTATGGGATATCAAAAGGAAAAAATTATTCTCAATTTCCAGTAAAACTATTCAGTTGATGAGAAACAGAATATAAATAGAATAGTTATATATAAACATAAAAATTAAATCCTTGAAGACTGCAAGTAGGGAAGTCCTTAGGAACAAATTATAAATGTTAACAGAAAAAAATAACACCTGCTGTATAAGTACATTTTTTTTTAATTCATTTAATCAAGGACCAAAATAAATACTCCGAAAATAGTTGTTCCTTTTTGCAACATAAAGTTTTAGAATTTGATATTATGTATTACAATATTGGTAATTGGGAATGAAAATTTTTTTTACATATGTACAAGCAATTATAAACCCAAAAATGTTCTTTTTTTATATCATGTGTCAGTATAACTATATCACTCATTGTCATTTTATAATATTATTGTCTTAGAATATTACCACATCTTCTCCAAAAACAAGGTTGTAATTTCTCTAGAGATCCTCTATAGTAGTGCCCAGTAATTTTATAGATACTCTGAAATACTTCTGGAATTTGAATTTTCATGTGAAGTGAATATTTGAGAGCTAGATCACTTTAGAGGAACCTTATTATATTAAAATAAATTTATAACATATTTGAGATGATTTTTTGTATCTCCTTTCCTTGATCAGAGGCCTCAGTTGTTATTTTTTTTTTTTTAGTTAGAAGCCTGGGTTTTGTTTTCAGAGGCCCATGTATGCAAAATACATTTAACTAAGAAAAGGTGCCCTCCCCAGCTTATGTGATTCAGTGGTTAGAGCGTCAGCCCACACAAGGAAGGGTCGAGGGTTTGATTCCCAGTCAAGGTCATGTACCTGGGTTGCAGGTTCAATTAAGAAATAGAGTAGTCTTCTTCAGGTATACCTATTTGTTATTATACTCTTGATTATGTAATTAGGGGATATAGTTCTTTTGATTTTTCTAATTTTTTTTAAACTAGGTAGTCATTCCTTTTATAGTCAAAACCATTCACTCTTACTTAAGATACTGTCCTCTATGGGAACCACTTGATATACCTTATGGTTTTATTAATAAAAATTCTGAAACATAAAACAATCTGTGATATTTATATAATTAAACCCTTTAAATCAGTGGTTCTTAATCTTTTCTTTTTTGTTTTGCATCAAAGAATATTAAGTTAAATATCCTTTTCAGAAAAACAATAAATATATGTAAAATTTTTATATAACATTAGTAGTCAATATTTTTCCTGAAATCTAGTCCCTTGCTTCATATTATATATTTCTGATATATGTGTTATAAATTCAGTATATCATGTACTTTTAGATGTATCAAGGAATCCTCTTCTAAAGTAGATTCTCTATAAAGCTTTTCCATGACACGGTAGCAGAGTTCTTACATGTTTTTATTGCATTATTCACATATAATTCTGAAATATTTTTTGAATTGTTTGAAATATTTATTGTATATGCTGTTTTTTCTCAGTCTTATTTTTCTTTCATTTGTCTTTCAACCAACAATAGATTTTTTTTTTCTTCTTATTCTAGATTCTGAAGAGGTTCAGTCTGTAAATCCTTCCAGTGTTGATGAAAATATTGACTCTGAGACAGAGAAAGACTCTATCATCTGTGAAAGTAAACAAATAATTCCCAAAGCACCTCTTTCAACTGCCCTTGATGAGTATGAGTTCAAAGATGATGATGATGAAGAAATAAATAAAATGATTGATGATAGGCATATTCTTAGGAAAGAGCTCAGAAAAGAGAATGAATCTGAAGTAGAAAAAAATAGTTTATTTGCAAAACAGGATAAAGCTTTCTACCCTAAATCATTTAAAAGTAAAAAACAAAAGCCATCTAGGGTTTTGTATTCAAGTTCTGAAAGTTCAGATGAAGAAATTCTTCAGAACAAAAAGTTTTCTGCTTCCTGCTCTATACCTGAAACATCAAATTCCGACACACAAACCAAAAAGGAATATGGAGTTTCAAATGAGCACAAACAAAAAGGTAAAGTTAAAAGAAAATTAAAGAACCAGAACAAAAATAAAGAGAACCAAGAGCTGAAGCAAGAAAAAGAGGGGAAAGAAAATACCAGAGTAACAAACCTGACAATTACTACAGTAGATTGTTCAGAAAAGACAAGAGAAGAGGGGAATTTTAGGAAATCTTTTAGCCCTAAAGATGATACTTCGTTACATTTATTTCATATTTCTAGTGGTAAATCTCCCAAACATTCTTGTGGACTAAGTGAAAAACAATCAACACCACTAAAACAAGAACACACCAAAACATGTTTATCACCAGGAAGTTCTGAAATGTCATTACAGCCTGATCTTGTTCGATATGATAATACAGAACCAGAATTCTTGCCAGAAAGTTCAAGTGTAAAATCTTGTAAGCATAAGGAAAAAAACAAACATCAGAAAGATTTCCACTTAGAATTTGGTGAAAAGTCAAATGCTAAAATAAAGGATGAAGACCATAGTTCAACATTTGAAAATTCAGATTGTACATTGAAAAAAATGGATAAAGAAGGTAAAACATTAAAAAAGCATAAATTGAAACATAAAGAGAGGGAAAAAGAAAAGCATAAAAAGGAAATTGAAAGTGAAAAGGAAAAATACAAAAATAGGGATGGGGTTAAAGAGCAACAGCGGAGTGTTGAATTTGATAGAGAATTTTGGAAAGAGAATTTTTTTAAAAGTGATGAAACTGAAGATATATTTTTTAGTATGGAACATGACTCCCTAACAGAAAAAAAATCAAAGTTGGAAAAAAACATGAAAGATGATAAATCAACCAAGGAAAAACATGTCTCAAAAGATAGGAACTTTAAAGAAGAACGAGAAAAGATTAAAAAGGAAAGTGAGAAATCATTTAGGGAGGAAAAAATAAAAGATTTAAAAGAAGAAAGAGAGAATATACCTATCAGTAAAGAAACAGAATTTAGTTCTTTAGGTATAAGTGCCAGTGAGGAATCTATAGGGTTACATTCAATGGAAAAGGAAATAGAAATTGAAAAACAAGAAAAGCACATAAAAGACAGTAAGGAAAAATCCGATAAACGATTTCAAAGTAAAGAAAAGGACATTGAGAAAGCTGAAAGAAGAAATTCTGAAAAAGAGAAGAAAATAAAACATGAGCATAAGTCAGAGAAAGACAAATTAGATCTTAGTGAATGTGTTGACAGAATAAAAGAAAAAGACAAACTATATTCACATCATACAGAGAAATGTCATAAAGAAGGTGAGAAGATAAAAAATATTACTATTAAAAAACCTGATGACAGAGAGAAAAGTAGAGAAAAGACAGACAGAAGACATGACAAAGACAAACCTGAAAAAGAGAGGCATCTAGCAGAAAGCAAAGAAAAGCACATGATGGAGAAAAAAAGCAAACAGTCAGATAATAGTGACTACACTAAATCAGAAAAAAGCAAAAATAAAGATAGGGAGATAGATAAAAAGGAAAAATCTAGAGATAAAGAAAGTGTAAATACAAGTAACTCCAAACACTTTCAGGAAGAGAAGAGGTCAAATATAGCAGACAGCAGTAAAGCACAACAGGAAAAAATTTTATCCCTTAAAGAAAAAACAAAAGATGAACCTTTGAAAACTGATGGAAAAGAAAAAGATAAAAAAGATAAAGACATAGACAGATACAAAGAACGAGACAAACATAAGGATAAAATTCAACTGAATAGTTTATTCAGACTAAAATCTGAAGTCGATAAGCCCAAACCTAAGTTATCACCAGCTTCAAAAGATACTCGACCTAAGGAAAAGAGGTTGGTGAATGATGATTTAATGCAGACAAGTTTTGAACGAATGCTAAGCCTTAAAGACCTAGAAATAGAGCAGTGGCACAAAAAACATAAGGAAAAAATAAAGCAAAAAGAAAAGGAACGGTTGAGAAATCGTAACTGTTTAGAACTTAAAGTAAAAGATAAAGAAAAAACAAAGCATACACTAGCTGAGTCCAAAAATAAAGCACTTAGTAGGTCAAAGAGTTCAGAGTTGACTGATCCTTATACCAAGGAGAAACAATCTAAAGATGCTGTAAGTAACAGATCACAATCTGTTGACACCAAAAATATAATGAATTTAGGGAAGTCCTCTTTTGTCTCAGATAATAGCTTAAACAGATCTCCTAGATCAGAGAATGAAAAGCCAGGTCTCAGCTCCAGATCTGTATCCATGATTTCTGTTGCTAGTTCAGAAGATTCCTGTCATACTACAGTAACCACCCCAAGACCTCCAGTTGAGTATGACTCTGACTTTTTGTTAGAGGGTTCAGATTCCCAAATGTCCTTTTCCCAGTCACCTTTTCTGCCAATTGCCAAATCTCCTGCATTTCATGAAAAGGACTTCGATAGTATAACTGAACTGCCAGAGCGGATTAAACCACCATATACGAGCAGACTTCCAACATCCCATGTCCGATCATCTTCTGTAGAAGATGTTAAACCTGTTATAAATGAGGGCAGAGCAGCTGTAGAAGTTCGAAGATGTAGCATGCCATCTGTCATTTGTGAACATACAAAACAATTCCAAACAACATCAGAAGAAAGCAATCAAGTTGGCTTAGCTGTGCCAAGAGATATTTGCCCTTCTCCCAAATCTGTGGTATCCTCAAATGTGCCTGAAAGAGAACTTTCAAATGTATCGAACATACATTCCAGTTTTGCCACCTCTCCAACTAGATCTATAAACAGCAAATATATTTCAGCTGATATAAACATTATCAAGAGTTCTGCTTCAGTGGGCACTTTAATGGACAGTCCTGTTCATTTAGAGCCATCTAATCAGGTTGGTGTGATCCAAAATAAATCATGGGAGATACATGTAGATAGATTGGAATCATTAAGCACCAGTGATGTCATTGGCCCAAATTCTAGTACATCTGATCAAGATCCTTCTGTCCAGGTTTTTTGTAATTCCGGAAACAAAATATTAAAAGAACAGAATACTGACCTTTTATGCCTGCACCAGACTGAACTGCCAGCAAACTCTTGTGCTCAGGATGCACCATCCTTTCTACCTTCACAGCAACCAGGCTCTTTCCAAAGCCAATCACTTTCAGATACTGATAAACATATGTCTTCATCATATGTTGCCAATCAAGATACAGATATTTTACAACATAAAAATGCAGTTCGGGTTATCAGTACTGTTTTAGATACTGATAATGAATCTACAAAAGATATGGAAAAGACTTTTGCCCTAACAGATGTCCAAAGGACAGATACCTTTGTTCCATTGTACTCCGAAAACTCTGTTCAAGAAGCATCACCAAATTTTGAGAAGGCTAATACTTTGCCTGTATTACCATTAGAGAAGGATTTTAATGGAAGTGATTCCTCTTCCCAGCAAAATATACATTATGCATTTAGCAAACATATATATAAGTCTTCCAGTAGCCAGGAAGTTGAAAATAACACTTCTGATATTCCGGTTATTTCACACGAAAAAGAAAGCAATCTGGAAAGTTTGGTTTTAACTCATTTGAATGATAAGTGTGATTCTGATTTATATGAAATGAATGCAGGAATGCCAAAAGGAAACCTAAATGAACAGGATAATCCAAAGCTTTGTCTTGAAAGTGAAAAGTGTTTGCTTTCCATTGAAGAGGAAGAATCACAACAAAGCACTTTATCATGTCTGGAAAGCCATTCACAACAACCAACTCAACAAGAAATGCATAAATATGGGCAATTAATTAAAACAGAATTAGAAGAAAATGTGGAAGATGATAAAACTGAAAACCAAATTTCTCAGAGGATGACTAGAAACAGAGCAAATGCAGTGGCAAATCAAAGCAAACAGATTCTTGCTAGTTGTACATTATTACCAGAAAAAGACAGTGAGTCTTCATCTCCTAGAGGAAGAATAAGATTAACTGAAGAAGATGATCCTCAAATTCACCACCCACGGAAAAGGAAAGTGTCACGTGTACCTCAGCCTGTGCAAGTGAGTCCCTCTTTACTACAAGCAAAAGAGAAAACTCAGCAGTCTCTGGCAGCCATTGTAGATTCTCTGAAACTAGATGAGATTCAGCCATACAGTTCAGAGAGAGCAAATCCATATTTTGAGTATTTGCACATAAGAAAAAAAATTGAAGAAAAGCGCAAATTGTTATGTAGTGTTATTCCTCAAGCACCTCAGTATTATGATGAATACGTGACATTTAATGGATCATATCTCTTGGATGGAAATCCCTTAAGCAAGATTTGCATTCCCACAGTAAGTAAGATTACTTGATATACATCCGAAATGCTGTTCAATAGAAATAATCAAGTCACATGGAGTTTTAAATTTTCTGGTAGCCTCATTTTAAAAAAAATAAAAAGAAATTGGTAAATTAATTTTAATATTTTAACCAGATATATCCATATTTCAAAATATAATCAATATAGAAAAGTTATCTTTGAGACCATCTATATTCTTTTTTTTTGTTATATTAAGTATTTGAAATCTGGTGTGCTGGTGTGTCTACAGTACTTCTCAATTTAAACTAGTTACATTTTAGTAAGTGGTCCATAGCCATATGTGGTTAATGGCTGCCTTATTGAACAACACTGAGCTATACAGTATTTTGTTTTTCATTATCTGCTTTTCCTTCTGTCCCAAAGAAGGTATGTTTTTATTTCCATTAAGGGTAATTCCTTTATATGTGTTTTTGATCCCACTCAGTCCAGTCTTCTCTTGAACCATCCTCTATTACAATACTTCTCACTAGTATATTTTTAAATTTTCCTTCTACATTGGCCAATATCCCCCATTTCAAACATATTTGGATCTCCTTCATTCCATGGAGAAAAAGTTACCCTTTGACTATGCCAGTTTGTCAAGCTCACCTCTCTTTCCTTCATTGCTGCACTCTTGGAGAGTAGTCTGTGCCTCATGTGTCCTCTGAATCACGTCCTATTCATCCCTGACTTGGCAGAGGTCACCAGTGAGTGTGTAATTGCCAGATTCATTGGCCTCTTTTTCTTTCTACATGACCACAATTGACATTGTGACCATCTTAGTCTAAATCAAATTTTCCCTCTCCCCACTCCCACCTTGGTCTCCGGTGGCGCTCTTTTCTAATTCCCTTGCCTCACTGATGAATCCTTTCTCTCTTTTAATGACTCACCTACCCACCCTTTAAACATCAGAGTTCTCTAGGAATCAATTATTTTTGCCCGTGTGGTCTTAACTACTGCTATGGTTCCAGTAATTGTTCAAGTGCCATTTAGTCCCAAAAAATTCTTATCTAGTTATATATCTTTTTTGTTGACCACCAGAATCAAATATAGGTGCCTCCAGGCATCCTTACCTAAATGACTTTCCAATACCTGTCATGGGAAGCTAACTTGCATATAAGAAGCTAACTATAGAATTGTGTGCAAGAGATTTATTAGTAAGGGCTATCATATCAGGAACAATACCTGTAAGTGTGTGAGGGAAGCAGAATTGGTCAGAGCGCAAAGTTGAACTGAAATGCAACATTGACCTCAGCTGAACCCATAAGAGCTCTACAGGGGTGGCCTTTCTGATAAGTGGCCTGCACTCAGAGAAGACACATAACCTTGGCCAAGCCAACTCACTTCCCCGAAAGGTACCGGTAACTCTTATAGAGGTACTCCGATGGGAGCTGTCAGCCAACACTCCTAGATGCTGGGGGATGAGTGTCTCATTGCTGAAGCAGGCAGAAGGGGAAGATTTAACCATGCACCATGGCATTCACTCTGTCCTCAGACTTCACACAGATGATGAGGAATGATTTCTCTTTCCCTGAAAAATACATCTTTATCCATTAGTGATGATACCAAAGTAGAAATCTACCAGTCACCAATCCTAACCATTCTACCTTAGAACTTTCTCCAGAATCTGTATCTTCTTCTACCACTGCCTTGGCTTAGGGCCCTCATCATTATCTGTCATTTAGAACATTACAAGGATTTTTTCACCCTTTTTTTTTTTTTTTTTTTTTTTTACAGAAATATTGATATGAGAAAGAAACATCCATCGATTGGTTGCTTCCTGCATTCTCCCTGTCCGGGGATTGAATCCACAACCTGGTATATGCCCTGACTGGGAATCAAACCCACTACCTTCTGATGTAGGGGATAGCTCTCCAACCAACTGAGCCACAATAGCCAGAACTTTTTACTACTTTTTTCTCTTCATGTCTTTCTGCTGGAACATTTTCTTTTGTTAAATTTATATTTCCTTAAAAACAATAGAGAGCTATTTCCTTATTTAAAGATCTCAGCTGTGATTAGCTGGCTTCCCATCTTCTACAGCTTAAAATCCATATCTAAGTATAGCATAACCATTCATTTCATATTCTGACCCCAATCTACCCATCTGGCTTTATTTCCTTACTGCTACTTCCAAACTCACCCACTACATCAGAGAACATCAGCCAAACTGAACTCTTTCTATGGAAATCTCTTGTTCATACTTTTGGTAGTTCTCCCTGCCTGAAATGTTGTTCTTTTCAGGAACCCTTTTTTAATCCTCTTCCATGCCTTTTTCTAAGCTGTGATGTCACCCCTGTACAAAATTTAGTCAAGGCAGAATTGCTTGTGTTTTCCTTATTCTTCCCCTATAATATTGTCATTAACTGTTTAAGGTGTCTGTCTCTGTCAGTGGTAATCTAATTAAGAGTTAGGACACTATCTCTTGTAGAATAGTTCCAAGTTTATCTTTAGCCATGAATACACTACTGATTTCTATAACCATGTTTCTAGCTGCTTCTAGACAGCTGAATGCCCCACACTATCCTTAAAATCAGTATGTCTAGCCCTGGCCAGTGTTTCTCATGGTTAGAGCATCAGCTCACACATCAAAGGGTCATGGGTACGATTCCCAGTCAATGGTACATACTTGAGTTGCATATTGGATCCCTAGCCCTGATCAAGGGGTATGCAAAAGGCCACCAATCGGTGTGTTTCTCTCACATTGATGTTTCTCTCACTTTCTCTCCTCACACTCCTTTCTTCCTCTCTCTCTAAAACAAAAATATCAATGGAAAAAATATCCTTGAAATGATTAACAAAAAAATAAATCATATCTAATACCAAACTTACTTGTCTTATCTCAAAAGTGCTCAGTGGAACATATTTTAAGAAAAGCTGGTTTAATTAGACCACAACCTTTATTACTTTGCCACTGCTGATCTCTCTGTCCTCATATCCTATCATTCTTTCCCTCCTGTTATGTTCCAGGGACTCAAGCCTGCTTATAATTGCCTCCAAACTCTATACTGTTAATTTCATGCATTTGATTATACCATTCTCTCTTCTGGGAATTACCTTCTTCTCTTCTTTCTCTTTCCTTTTTCCCACAACTCATTTCTCTTAACTCTTCCTTTAGGTTAAGGCTCTGAAAGAAACTTCCTCTGACACTCCAGCCTCAAAGGAATAGATACTCTTCCTCTGTGTTGCTTGAAAGGCCTGCATGATTACAAAACTGCCACATGATTACAAAACTGCAACAATAGCACCAAACTCACCACTTAACTCTTTTTGTTGTTAATTTAAAGTTTACAGGACACAGAAATGAAGCAAATGTATCATTGCAATTAGAGGCCAGCTCATTGAAAAATGATTAGCCCCAAAAAGTTATGTCTTGTATTTTCCACATTGATTTGACTAATTAAGTGCTTATGATATTTAACATGTTTTTCAGTCATTCATAATTCCTATAAACCGTTTACTGATTATAGAGTCTTGATTAGATCCAGGTTTGATTCTTTGGCAAGAGCTTTTCATATATGGTATTGTATAATTCCTGTTGTACATCATGAAACACACTGTATCTATTTCTCTTAACCTTCAGAAATATCAAGAGTTAACTAAGTTCTATATTGTGCCAGACATACTAAGCTATCTTACTTTGTTCTATAATGCTGAAAAGAATTATAAACTGGGATGAGAGAGGGGGAAATATAGATACTCTAAGACAGCAGTCGCCAACCGGAGGTCCGAAAGATTGGCGACCACTGCTCTAAGGTAGTTAGTGGAAGAATATTTAGGGTTTCAAACAGTTGAAATTAAAAAGTAATTGTATAATTGTTACTATATTATTTAATTCAGAGAACATCTGAATTTATAATCTTCATTTTAAGTTATCTACTAAAAGGTTTTAATTTTATAAGTGTAGCCCATTATTATAAATAAAACCTAATACTTTTAACTATTACATTTTTAAAATTAGATTACGCCACCCCCTTCACTGTCAGATCCACTCAAAGAGCTGTTTCGGCAACAGGAAGTGGTAAGGATGAAACTACGTTTGCAACACAGCATTGAAAGGGTAAGAGCTGTTTACATTTACATTTATGCTAAAAAATAACAATATATTACAGTGACCTACAGTTTTTCATTAGTGAATTTTCCTTATTTAGATACATTTTGAGAGATGATTTACCTTGTGCGTATCTTAGATGGAGAATTTGTAAGCCTGTTTTAGGGTAGCTGCTCCCATGTTACAATTTATGTTCAATATATTTTCAATTTATAAAAACCTCTAATGATTTTCTCTTTAAAAAAAAAATACTTTTACTGATTTTGGAGAGGAAGAGAGAGATAGAAACATCAATGATGAGAATCATTGATTGGCTGCCTCCTCCTGCAAGCCCCACACCAGGGATTGAGCCCACATGTGCCCAGATTGGGAATTGAACCATGAACTCCTGTTTCATAGGTTGATGCTCAATCACTGAACCACACCAGCCAGGCTTATTTTCTTACTGAATTTGCAGAACTATAACAGTGAATTCTAGTTGGACATTTGGACTTCCACATTTTAGAATTGTTGCTTGTTACCAATTATGTTAGTGTAAAGTACTTACAGAGGCTGTACTTACTGATCCTTACTTTAGTATTTCAGTTTCTAGTGGTTAGTCTTGGCATGAAATGACAGGGGGGAAATCTATCTAATTATTTATAAAAATCATAAAAGGCCCTGGTCAGTGTTGTTCAGTTGGTTGGAGCAGCGTCCCGTGTACCGGAAGGTCACAGGTTCAATTTCTCGTCAGGGGGAGAGTGCTGGGCTGGGGTTGCAGAGGTGTAGTCAGTTGATGTGTCTGTTTCACATTGCTGTTTCTCTCACTCTCTCACAGCCTTCCTTTCTAAAATCAAAAAACACCTTCTTAATCTTTTGGGATGGTCAGGGAATTCTGCAAATGTGATGTAACATAGTTATTTACAAACGAAACCTTGTCTACAATTTATTTGATTCAGACATGATTAATTTCTTATGACAAAAATTAATCTTTTTTGTGCCATGGACCCCTATAACAATCTAATAAATATAAGACCTTTTCTCAGAATAATGTTTTGGTGGGATTATTTTTTTCAGAATAATGTTTTTAAATTGATAGTGTTACAGTGAGAACAAATAAAAGAAGAAAGCACTGATACAGAACTTACAATTCATGACCCATATCATAGAGCAATAGTTAGATCATATAACAAATATATCAATAGTTGTTTTAACTATCAATCACCTACAGAAGTCATACTTTCTACAGACAGTTAAGAATTGTCATTTGAGTTTCTTCTGAAAGGCAATCAAGTTTGTTGCTCTATTTAAAAGAAAAAAGAGGTTTTTTAAAAGATACTCTCTAAATGAGGCCTAGAAATTACTGAGAGAAATAATAAAGGGAAATTCCCTTCAAAAAAAAAAAAAAAAGAATTGTCATTTGAATTGTGAAACTTGCAGAACCTTAATAGATAGCAAAAATGACTCATCCTCCTCCATATTGACCATCACACAATTTAAAATTGCATAATACTACAAAGCAATTTAAATGTCTGACCAATATGAAGACAAACAGCTTTATCATTTGTTGACTGAATAAACTACTAGCAACAGAATTGCTTGATAGTTGGCCAGCTGTATTGCACAATTTACACTGAAAGCTGCTGTCATGTGTCATGAAGTAGCAGGTCTAATAACTATTAGAATTGCAAAGAAGTGAGTATAAAAATATGAGAGCAGTATCTGCAACAACTATAATATGACTTGAAAATATTTGTGATTTGCCGAAACCAGTTTGGCTCAGTGGATAGAGCGTCGGCCTGCAGACTGAAAGGTCCCAGGTTCAATTCCAGTCAAGGGCATATACCTTGGTTGCGGGAACATCCCCAACAGGGGGTGTGCAAGAGGCAGCTGGTCGATGATTCTCTCTCATCGATATTTCTAACTCTCTATCCCTCTCTTCTTCCTCTCTGTAAAAAATCAATAAAATATTTTTTTTTAAAAAGAAAATATTTGTGATTTTTATTTTGGGTTTTGTTTTGTTAATCCTCACCCAGGGATATTTTTTCCTTAGATTTTTTTAGAAAGTGGAGGGGAGAGGGAGAGAGAGAAACATCAATTGGTTGTCTCTGTCATACATCCTAACCAGAGACCAAACCTGCAACCCAGGTATGTGCCCTTGACTGGGAATTGGACCCACAACCCTTTGGTATGCAGGCCGATGTTCTAACCACCGCATAGGGCTAGAATGGCTGTAATCTAAAAAGACAGACAGTGAGCATTGGCAAGGATGTGAAAAAATTGGAACCTTTATAAATTGCTGGTGGGAATATAACATGGTACAACTGCTATTTAAGACAATGTGATAGTTCCTCAACAAGTTAAACATAGAATTACCATGTGACCTAGCAGTTCTCTTATTTACCCAAGAGAAATAAAAACACACATTGAAACAAAAACTTAAACATGAAATATTCATAGTAGCATTATTCATGGATAGCCCAATATTGGAAACTACCCAGAAAATTGACAACTGATAAATGAATGAATAAAATGTGGTATATTCATACAATGGAATATTATTCAGCCATAAAAAAGAACAATGTCTTAATACATGGTACAACATAGATGAACCTTGGAATCATGTGACATAAAAGAAGCCAGTTACAAAAGATCACATATTGTTCCATTTATATAAAGTGTTCAGAATAGGTAAAATTTATAAAAACAAAAAATAGAGTTAGTTTCCAGGAAAGAGGATAAATAGGGAATAGTTTTGTTGATGGGTATGGGGCTTCTTTTTGAAATGATAAAAATAGTCTGGAATAAGTGGTGATGATTAAACATCTTGTGAATATACTAAAAGTCACTATTGTACCCTGTACAAGATCATTTTTAAAAAGAGAATGCCAGTTTTTAAAAGTCTACTTATACTTTTCAAACACTAGTTCTCAAATTCTCAAGTTTACTATGAAGAAAAAATGACTCTGAGATTAAAGTTGTTTAACATATTTAAAAGTTTTTTATTTTACTTAAAAACAAGTAGTTAAAGAATTATATATTTTTTAATTCTTTGTTCAACTAGGAAAAACTCATTGTATCCAATGAACAGGAAGTTCTACGAGTTCATTACAGAGCTGCAAGAACACTAGCAAATCAAACACTGCCATTTAGTGCATGCACTGTTTTACTGGACGCAGAAGTCTACAGTGTGCCCCTGGATGCTCAGGTACAGTGCCCGCTGATACAGTTAGAATGTTCTTAATACAACTTGGGGTTTTTTTTTGTAATTCCCATTGTAGAAACTTGAATTCAACAATTAGTAAAACTCAAATGAGAAAAACAAGTCTTCCAGACCAAAGTATTCCCAAGTCACCTGATCCTCCATTTTCTAAAGTCCTCTAGTACAGCCGTCACCAACCTTTCAGACCTCACAGACCACCGGTTGGCGACCACTGCTCCAAAGGTTTCCTTAAAACAGCAGTCACCAACCTTTCGGAACTCATGGACCACCAGTGGTCCATGGACTACCGGTTGGCAACCACTACTTAATATAATACCATGTCTAATAATGTTTATACCATAAAAGTTTATCCTATATAATAAAAGGCTAATATAGAAATTGTCCCCTTGGGAGTTCGATGAAGAGACCAGGAATTCGATCACTTGCTATGATGTGCCCTGGTCACCAGGGGGTGGCACGGAACATGGTGGGCAACCAGCAGTGGCAGTGGGTCCCTGAGGGAGAAAGGGAAAGAGGAGGCGGGGAACCTGATCGGCTCTGATTGCCAGCCAGCCTAGGGACCCTACCCGTGTATGAATTTCGTGCACTGGGCCTCTAGTATTATAATATACTAGAGGCCCAGTGCACAAAATCCGTGCTCTCAATGTGGCAGGCAAGGTGGGGGTCCCTCAGCCTAGCCTGCACCCTATTGTAGTCCGGGAGCCCTCAGGGAATGTCCCCAGGGGGAGCAGGCGCAATTCAGGACCGCTGGTTCCTAACCACTCATCTGCCTGCCTGCCTGATCGTCCCTAACCATTCTGCATGCCAGCCTGCTCACCCCAACTGCGCCCCAAGCCTTCTTGCCCCCAACTGCCCCCCTTGCTGGCTTGATCGCCCCCAACTGCCCCCACTTGCTGGCCTGCTTACCCCAAATGCCCTCCCACTGGCCTGATCACCCCTAACTGCTTCTCCCTCTGCTCCACCACCATGGCTTTGTCCAGAAGGATGTCCAGAAGGTCTCCTGGTCTAATTAGCATATTACCCTTTTATTGGTATAGATATTGGGGCGGACAAAAGAGGATTTACAGTTGTTCATATGGTAAAATGTAATAAAATAATTAACTTTTATATTATAAAAGTAGATAATTGCAAAACAAATATGTGTTTAGGATAGTGTCCCTGTAGGTAATTTATAATTTGGTTCTAAAGTGGATACTTATACATTCAGTCTGGCCTTCAAGCAGCTGGAAAGCTACTGTAAGCTGGAAAATAGTACAGGCAGACCGAACCTCTAAGTTGTGATGGTGCTACAATAGGGCCATGTTTTGTTTTTATCTTGGATTTTTTTTAATAAATTAATATTCAGTAAGTCTTCACTTAACATAGTCAACAGGTTCTGCAACTTTAAGCAAAACAACATATAATGAAACTAGTATTACCATAGGCTCATTGATACAAACAAGGGTTAAGTTTATATAGCACCTCATTAGCGTTATAATGAAACACAGCACAGAACAAAATATTATTCAAGGGCCTACTGCAATTGAAAAACTGTAGTTGTATCTTGAACAAAGTTTACTGCTGCATATAAATTACCTGAATTAGACATATCAGTTGTCAGAATTTTTTTATTTCCTAAACCAGAATGAAATTCATTGGTCATAAGAGAATATAATGTTTAAAATAAAAAGTATAAACATGGACAATAAAATATCATTAAAAAAAAGACTAGGAAATGCTGTTGTAAGTTGGACAAGCTAGAAATACAAGGGTTATAAAATATATTATAGAGAAAGTTACTATCTTCTCTCTGGTTGTATTTTATTTTTAATTTTTCTCATGTGCTAAAAAGATTAAACAAGATAAGTAGATTTCAAACTTTCTTAAGCCACCAACTATTTTATTCAAATGAGAGCATTCAGAATGCTGTTATTAAATGAGTAATTGGATCGATCTTAGGAAAGAACATTTTTATAATATTCAGATAATATTTTATCCTTTTTCAAAATATATTTCCATCATTCCTTAAAAAATGAAATATAACATGAAAAGATATAATGACATAGAGATTTTAAAGTGGATTTTATTGTATTTTATTATATTCAACTATATTTAATGTTCTCTTTCAGTCTGATGACAGTAAAACTTCCGTGAGGGATCGCTTTAATGCAAGACAGTTCATGTCTTGGTTACAAGATGTGGATGATAAATTTGACAAATTAAAGGTATGTATATTGAGAAGTTCAGTTTAAATGGATGCTTTCCCCTTCTCTTTTTTTTTTTCATTTTAAATTTTTTAAAAATTAATTTTTAGAAAGGGGGGGTAGAGAGAGAGAAACATCAATTTGTTGTTCCACTTATTTATGCATTTATTGGTTGATTCTTGTATGTGCCCTGAGCAGGGATCAAACCCACAACCTTGACGTTTTGGGTCGACATGCTAACCAACTGAGATACCTGGCCAGGGCTGCTTCCCCTTTCAAAACAAATACTGCAGCTATATTTAGAGAGAAATTATTAGGGAAGGAAATACTGATCCCAAATCCTCACACTAGGTCGGTCACACTTGGAAAATAAAAGCCATATTACTCTTAAGGATCAATGTAGAAAAATGAGTTTCTAATGGGGATCTTTATGTTTATTGTCCAATATACAAGTCTAGTTATAGTTCTAACATATGAAAGAATAGGAAATAATAAGAAATATATTTTGCAACTCTATAAAGAAAAGTATTTGGTTTTAGATCTTCAGTACAAATCATTTCTCCTTAGATTTTCTTGATTCTTTTGTTAATTCGAAATCTCATTTGAAAAAATAGTTTTAAATATTAAAATGTGTGTGAAGTTGAAGACCCAGAAATAGTAGGCATATGGATACAGACAAGGTTTAACACCTACCCTGTATAACTCAAAAACTTTTTATACCTCTGCTATATCCCTAAAGTAAACAAAGCATATTTAATAGAATAATTCATTAACTTTTTTCTTTTTAATAGACCTGTCTTTTAATGAGGCAGCAACATGAAGCTGCAGCTTTAAACGCCGTTCAGAGATTAGAATGGCAGCTCAAACTCCAGGAACTTGATCCTGCCACATATAAATCTATCAGCATTTATGAAATCCAGGAGTTTTATGTTCCCCTTGTTGAGGTTAATGATGATTTTGAATTGACTCCTATATAGCAGCCGTTACTTCCTCATGTGTCATCTTAAACTGATGGAGACTCCAGAGTGTTGTACTGTGGAAAATTGCTTTTTGACAAAAATACTGATATTCTGCCTTTACAATTGTTGGTAAAGTTGAAATATAATTGGTTATGTAGCAAACACTGTCATTTTATAAAAAATGAAAAGAAATATTTTGGATCTTGAATCCAAACAATTTCTAATTGAAAACTATTTATATCGGTCAAAGGTCATGATTACATTTGGCAGGCTGTGGTAGATATTTAAAAAGTTGAGAATCTGCTAATGGCGCTGGAAGTTGTTAGCACTCTAAGTAATAAGATAACCACTAGAATGCAAATCTTTTTTAAGTTTTATTAAAATATATCAGTAAACTAAAAGGTTCAATTCCTACCAAATAGTTTCTAATGTGGAAGCAAAACTTGGCACAAATTTTCTTCAGTTTATTATATTTGTAAATTGTACAGTTTTCTTTTCAAAAGTTTGATATTGTCTTTCTTTTTAATAACTTATTTTATACATACTGTGCAGATGTAAATCTTGTAATTAATGCTCAAAATGTAAACAAAGGGATTGGTAGTCAAAACATGTACAAAGAAATAATTGTAAACCTGTTTTGTCTGATGTTTTATTGGACCAAAGTTGTTGTTTGTATGGAGTGTAGCAGTAGGGTGGTCAGATAGCAAAACTTTTAAATAAGGCATGCATGTGTTTGAGTTAGCTTGTTTTTATTATCATAACTGTAAAGTTGTGACTTAGTTGTATTGCATGCTTCTTCCTATAATTTAACTCCATAAGTGATGACTAAAGTAGTGTAAGGTGTTTCATACTAATCTCCTGGCATAGTACCTATGGCTTACTATGTTGGATGTATTATTTAGAATAGTCATACAAAGGAACAGCTCTTTTTTCACCTCATAGTAGAGCCTATTCTCTCCTCCCACCCCCATACGCCTTTGAATGAAAATTCTGAAATTGTAAATATCTATTTTAATACTCAAGTATGATGAATCTGTGAATATATGTAAAATATGTTTAATAAATTTTATTGGTCATGTTAAATCATTGTAAAACTTTTTTACATTGCTAAAGCATAATGTTTTAAGCTTAATAACCTTTGCACTTTTAAAATATAAACAGTACTCCAATGAAAAAAGAGATATTTGATAGTCAAAATAAGTAAAAGCAACAGGCATATTCCAATTGATCTCTACAATGTTTATGAAAAATTCATTAATCTGCTGTATTTTTTTCCTTGTATCAAAATATAAAGCCTAATTTTCAGAATTTTATAATTAACATTTGGTATGCTGTTTTTAATAAAATAATTAGCAATATACTTAGAAAAAGTCCAGTTCCTCCTATACCATGATACAGATTAAATATTCAGGAATATTTCTGATCTGAAACCTGCTGCTAAACTTATTAAACATTTTTGAAGGGAAAGTTAGGTTATATGTAAAATTGATTGTAACTGTATGAGATTAAAATTTATAGAACTTTCTTTCCACAATACTTTGTTGAATTGTAAAATAATAATGGATGTTTTTTATTCTGATAGAACAAAGTAAAAAGAATATATGAGAAATAAAGTGTTTAAAATTCAGCTTAAAAGTTGGAAATTCCAGATGATGGGAGAGAAAAGAATAATTGAAGTTGTTGAGTGCAAAGGTACATATTAAGCTTAGGGATTTCTTAATTTTTACATCAAGTTATATTTAAATTCATATTGTATTTGGCATGCGCAATAAAGAAGCACGTGTAAAAAATACACAGTGCAAGGACTTTAATATAGAGGTTGGATGTAGTAGTGTTTAGAAACTTAGATGAGAGTTTTTGGCCTTTTTTATTGGATAAATTGGGCCAAGAAAGGCAGGGTAGATTTTGAAGCACTGGTTTTGTTGAAGTTAAGTTTATTAAGGCTGGGAACATTAAAATCTAATTTATAAAAGCAATACTTTTTAATATGAAAAAATTAATGCAAATTTTGTGTATACTTTTGCCTAAAGAAAAAACAGGTTTTTGAGCAATGGAGTCATAGAACATATGAAAGGGATAAGCTTGTAAGCGTTTTGTGCTGATGGTCCAACCTGAGATGGGGATGTGGGAGAACATGTTGGCCAAACAGAACAAGCTGCAGAAGAGAAAAAGCAAGCACGCAGGAATCTGGCATGTCTTAGTCATCCCAGCTTTTTAGCATTAACCACAGTTCTCACCCTTTACAATGGTACCTCAACTTGCTGGAGCATCTCTGCCATGATTCTGCTTGTGCAGATTTCCTTTGTAAAATGACTCAAAGGTAATCCAGATAGCTTAAAAGAAAAGTGAATGCCTTTCCTGGAAATTTATACTTAAGTAAGTAGCTAAGGGCTTTTGATATTACAAATATTCTGAAGCTCTGAAATGCTAGAAAAAAAAACTTGGAATGGAGTATATGCCTAAAGATGTAGGATCTGAAAGAGGAACAAAGGATGGTTCATTTAATCAGTGATTTTTTTTTAACTACTCAAATATCATGAACAAGATACTAAACTGTACCTGAGGATTTGTATTTCTTTAAATCTTGTTCTACATCATATCTGTTTAATAAATGACTAGTTGATATTTGTGCATGTTATTTAATAAAGAGTTATATTTTTATAGAAAAAAAAAGTGAAATGTGTGTTTTGTTTTCTTTTAATTTTCCACTCCCATATGACTGTACGCCAAACACTGATATTTACTTGGTCAGCTAGCAAAATGGCAGAAATAATCACTTTGGGGAAACAAACAGCATCTGAAGAATTGGTCTTTCAAGTCTAGTTAGTAATGAGGTTTCAAAAATGAATTTTAAATGTTACACGTGTGCAAACTTCATAACTGCAAAAACCTTATGCAAAGACCCCATGAAGCTCATTTTAGTGGACTTACTAATTATACACTTATTCTAGAAATTGGGTACTGTACTAAATATTTTCCTTAGTTATCCAACATGTGAACAGTATTTTTTATTCTCTGGTATCCTGGCATAAAACCTCAAAACTTGATACAGAGAACTTACCCATTTGAAACTCATGATACAGTTTTATCCTCTTGTATTTTAAAGAAAGCATTTTCATATTTTAAAAAAATTCTTTCAAACCAAAACTGGTTTGGCTTTGCGGTAGAGCGTCTGTCTGCGGACTGAAAGGTCCCGGGTTCAATTCCGGTCAAGGGCATGTACCTTGGTTGCGGGCACATCCCCGGTAGGGGATGTGCAAGAGGCAGCTGGTCGATGTTTCTCTCTCATCGATGTTTCTAGCTCGCTCTCTCTCCCTTCCTCTCTGTAAAAAAACAAAACAAAAAAATTCTTTCAAACATTCATGGCAAAAAGGTTGTTACAAGAGATACTAATCTTTGGAAAAGTTTGTGTGAAGTTTAATTTGTTAAAATACCTTGTAATTCATTTCTTAGTGGCTTCTTGGGACCATAGTTTCCTTTGTACCTAAAATGGTGATACAAAACCTCCACAGAAGTAGTTATCCAAAAAAACAAAAATCTCAGAAAGTAAACATAGAAAAACTACAAACTAACATTCCTCTTGAACATATTCACATTCAGTTAGGCAACAATTCCTTAATTAGAATAGAAAAAGTATAACCTATAAAAGAAAAAATTTGATAAATAGGACATTAAAGTTTACAACTTTTTTTCTTCAAAAAACACTTAAAATGAAAATGTAAGCCACGTTTACACTTTCAAAAAATTGATTAAAAACATATATGTCCCTAACTGGTTTGGGTCAGTGGATAGAGTATCCTCCTGGGGACTGAAGGGTCCCAGGTTCTATTCCAGTAAAGGGCACCTGCTCTGATATCGGCCTTGGTCCTCAATAGGAGGGGGGGGGGGGGGCGTGCAGGAGACAGCCAATCAGTAATTCTGATCATTGATGTTTCTATCACTCCCTGAAATCAATAAATATTTTTAAATATAAAATATTTTTAATTGATTTATTACAGAGAGGAAGGAAGAGGAATAGTTAGAAACATTGATGAGAGAGAAACATTGATCAGCTGCCTCCTGCACAGCCCCCACTGGGGATGTGCCCACAACCAAGGTACATGCCCTTGACTGGAATCAAGCCTGGGACCCTTCAGTCCACAGGTTGACACTATCCACTGAACCAAACTGGTTAGGCCCTGATAAATATTCGGGAAATGAAAAATTTTCAACTCAAGAAAACAAAATTTTAATATTTTACTAAAGATATATGAATGGCAAGGGAAAAAAACACATAGCAAGATGCTCAACATCATTAGTCATCAGGGAAATCAAATTAAAACCACAATGCTATACCAGTATATACCAACTAGAATGGCTAAAATTAATACTTAAAATAACCAGGAATTGGAGAAACTGTTGAGCAACTAGAACTCTTCAATTGCTGGCAAAAATGCAAAATGTGAACCACCATTTTGGATATCCATTTAGTAGTTTACAATGTAAAAAATATACTTACTATAAAAAAATACTATCAATCTCACTCCTAACCATTACCCAAAAGAAGGATAACTTCATATTAATAAGAATCTTTTGTTAAATTTACAATTACCAAGTACTTTTTTTAAACTTTATTGTTGATACTATTACAGATGTCCCCATTTTCTCCCCATTTCCCCACTTCAACACAGCCCCTGCCTCACCTTCCCTCTGGCCATCACCACTGCTCTCTGTGTCTGGGTGTCATGCATATATGTTCTTTGGCTAATCCCTTCACCTTCATCCTGTAACCCCTCTCCCACCCCTCCGACAGTTGCCAGTCTGTCCCATGTATCCATGCCTCATTTTCTATTTTGTTCACCGATTTCGTTAACAGAATTCTATATATAAGGCATTTAAGACTGTTTCTAGTTTAAGACTTTAGCACTAGGTCAGTATTTCCAAGGAGAAATACCTTGTGGATCATAGCTTAAAGGGCTCCAACTTAATATTTCTGGAATCTTTTTTAAAAATATATTTTTAATTGATTTTAGAGTGGAAGGGAGAGAAACATCAATGATGAGAATTGATGTACCCTCCTGTACCCCCTCTACTGGGGATCGAGCCTGCAACTGGGCATGTGCCCTGACTGGGAATCGAACGGAATCGAACCATGACCTTCTGGTTCATAGGTCCACCCTCAACCCCTGAGCCACACTTGCAAATTCCCAGGGCTGTGGGAAGGAACTGAGTGCAATTCTCCATTGCTTTTACCTACATGCTAGCTGTTGAAATGAATTCGCTTTCTTGAAATAGGGGCTGAAATGAGTGCTGGCTTCCTGCTTATGAGGTCTGCCCTCTCCTACTGAGGCCTGGAGTGGTGCGCTGTAGCCGTTTGTCCAGCTGTCTGTCCATCATCTCCGCAAGCCAGCAAGCTTTTTCTTGGCCCAGCTCCTAAGGCTTGTCTTCTCACTTCTATTTATAATGCTAAGCACAGCGCCAGGCACTCACTCACAGAGCACAGCAGACTTCAGTGAACTGCTGAAAAGAAGGCTCTTTCTACTCTGGGGGATCCTTATTCAGTCGGTCTCATGCAGATCCCAGAATCCTGTATTTTAACCAATCTGACCCCTGATGTCAAATAACAAGGTCAGCTCCACTCCATCACTCAGAGCCTCCGTCTTGCATCCCCCTAAGAGGACCTAGAACAGCTGCCTCGCAGCGTTGCTGTGAGGATTCAGTGAGCTCAGCTCCATGGCTAGCACAAGGTGAGTGCAGAGAACGGACCTGAAGCCTGATGTGGGGCAGGGAAGAGGGCTGAGAGCGAGCGCGCGTGGCGCCAGGGTGGGTGTGTCCCTGGGGGCGGAGCCAAGACCGGGGGCGGAGCCAAGACCCGGGGGCGGGGCATGCGCTGTTCTGGCGGAGCGGGCGGTGGTGCGGAGCCGAGGGAGGGCTCGGGGGGAGAGGGAGGAGTGCTGAGCGGGAGGCGGAGCGGGGCTAGGAGGGCGGCGGCGGGCGGGCCTGAGCCTTTGAGGTGTCGGGAGCTCGCGGCGCTGCGCGGAGGAGCGACTGCGCGGAGGCGCGGCCTGCCCCCCTCGCACGGCCCCGCAGCGCGTCCGAGCTGGGCCGAGCCGCCGGGGAGCAGGCCAGGCAGCCTAGCGGGGCCGCGGCGCACGGTGAGCGGGAGGGGCCGGGGCTGGCGGCGGCGGCGGCCGGAAGGGTCTGTGCCCCGAGCTCGGGCCTCCGGAGGCAGTGCCCGCGGGGGGCTTCTCGGGAGCCGGCAGGAACGGGGCGCTCGCGCGGCCAGAGCCCCGCCTACGCGGAGGACAAAGTGGGGTCCCGCCGCCAGTGGGTGCTGGGCGGCCCTGGCGCCCCTTTCTTTCCCTGCGCCGCCGGGGCCCGCGCCCCCGGCCTGGTCCTCCGGGGGGCGCTGGGGCCGCGGGCCGAGGGCCGCCGCCGCCTCCCGGCGGCACAAAGGCTGCTGTCAGCGCCGGCTCCCCGCCGACCTCGCAGCTCCGCTGGGGTATTGTTCTTAAAAAAGGCAAGAAGCCTCTCAGATAATGCTGCTACCTGCTCTGTAGATACCCGTGTTTACTTGAATATTTTCCCCAAGAAGATGTTGGGAGTAGGATGAAGGACAAGCGCAGGAGATGAAAAAAAAAAAATTAAAATCCCCTTTTTGGTAGTTGTAGGATGAAAACTAGTTCTGGGGGAGAAGATCAGTTTTCAAATACCTTCCTTGGGCCCCCACTGGTGGCTCCAAAAGCCATTCCACTTGGTACGTGTTGGTAAATAAGTTAGTAATGGGGTTAGTAACGGTCTTTAAAAGAGAAAACCTGTGGCCTCAGGAGCCATCACCAGGGCTTTCTCTTTCAGACTTGAGTCATCCCGGGTACGAAGCCTTTTTGTTTTTAATTGTGCTTCGTAATACTCAGAATACAAGTTTATAGTAATTATAAAGGCCCTATAAACGCACCTTTTATCCTTCTTGCATCAGTAGTCGTTTAGTTTAATTAGTTCTATGGAGGGGGTGTTTTAACCCCCAAGAAGTTATATCTTCGCTTTTTAGAGATTTTAATAGCCACATTGGTGGTTTAACCACTGTCAGAATTTGTCCTGGTCTTTTTTTTTTTTTTTTCTTCCTTCCTTTGAAAGTGTAATAGCATCTTAATAATGGTGAAGAATCTATGGTACCTCGGGTATAGAATCAGAAGAAGAGCTTAACATAAGGCAGTTAATAATTTACTGTCCCCTTTGTTACTTGCTAAATTATTTAAGGAATGACTGTCAACTCCTTTCTTTGAGCTGCTTCATTCTAGTTGTGTTAAGAAACAACGATATAATCATCATTATTACTAGAATTACTTACATTTAAAATGTTTTAATTCTAAGAATTAAAATGTTGTTAAATGTTTTAAAATTAGAATACACTATTAATAGTTTTTCTACAGGCATAAAGTTGAATAATAGGCCCAAAACTAAAGTTGAATAGTAGCAGGGTAGTTTTGAAATTAGTTATTTGCTTGGTATATTCTCAAGTTACTGATGACCTATAAATACATACGTATACTAGTATATCCACTTTAATTTACCAGTCACTGTTTCTAGGTAGTCTGAGAAATTTAAATATTCTAGATCTTTGAAGATGGCCAACAAGACATTATTACATAAAATTGCAGGGTGTTTTTTCATGTTGAATCTTTCATTGAATGACCTTTAAATGCTCACTCGAAAGTCTTCTAACGCAGGGAGTGCGGTTTATTTGTGCTGTTTTTCATTTTTGTATTTGTTTTTACCCTAGCACTTACTTTTGAATTGAAGTTTTTTATTTGTTGTTGTTTTGGTTTAGCTTCCTGGGAGTTGCCGATTGTCTTTGAAGAAACATGAAGTCACATTCTATTGTTATGCTTACTCTAGCCATCTTGGTGTTCCTGACATGGATCCCTGAGTCCCTGAGTTGTAACAAAGCACTGTGTGCGAGTGATGTGAGCAAATGCCTCATTCAGGTAGGACTCAGTATTATTATTAATATTAAAGTATAATATATTGTATCTCTGCTGTACAATATAGAGTGTACATGTAATACAGTGTATTAGGTGAGAGGCGAGGTACTGAGTTATGACAGACACAGTGATCTGGGTTTTTGCCCCCTTAGTTCACTTGCATACAAGCAAGGTTAGATTCAAGAGCTTCAGTACTGAAAATAATACCCAGCTTTATAAACATGCTGTTACAAGGTGCCAAGCACTCTGTTCAGAGGAATTGAAGGGTTTCTCTTTTATAATTTAGTTTACATAGCAAAGAGACTACATAACTCTATGTAGGGGAGAAATTAGCTAATCAAATGATAGACAAATTGTACGCTAGACGTAATGTATTAGGTGTCTATTCTATGTAAAAAAAATTACCTCCAAATGTAGCAACTTAATTAGGTAGACATTTAATATTTCGTCCGTTTCTTAGATTGGAAATCTGGAGCATTTGATCTGGGTGGTTTTGGCTTAGGGTTCCTTACAGGGTTGCAAGCAAGTGGTTATCTGGAATTGGAAAATCAGCTTCCAAAATAATGTTGGAAGAGGGCTAATTATCTTTTTTAGTCTTCAAAGCAAGCCTACTGATGTAGTTACCACTGTCATTTTCTCATTTCAAGAGAAAAGTGAGGTTAAGTTATTTGGCTCGGTTCATAGAGCTAGGAAGTGGCTGTAGAAGGTGGGTCTATGTTTGACTCCAAAGCCTGTAGCTGGTTATAACTCTTCATAAAGTTGTGTTCGTTAGTGGTGAACTTCATGTCATATATAGCTGTTTTCTTTTCCATCCTATTAGATCATCAGCAGAATTATGTTCTTTTTGTGTGTTTGTTAACCTCCCTTCTAATTATTGGCTGTTGGCTAAGAAATTCAGTAACCACACATACTAGAGTTCTGGGTAAGTGAGTCAGCTACCTCTTGGCTATAACCACTGAGCAAAATCTGCCAGAGCTATATTCCATTTTTTGGATGTACCACATTTTGTTTATCCATTCACCTATTAAGATTCATCTTGTTGCTTCTAGGGTTGGGCAGTTATAAATAAAGCTTGCCTGGCTGGTGTGGCTCAGTGGTTAAACCACCTAAGAACTAGAAGGTCATGGTTCAATTCCTGGTCAGGGCACATGCCAGGGTTGCAGGCTTGATCACCAGTGGAGGGCATGCAGGAGGCAGCCGACAATGATTCTCTCTCAACATTGATGTTTCTGTCTCTCTCCCTCTCCTTTCCTCTCTGAAATCAATAAAAGACATATAAAAATAAATAGCTAAGATCTGTGCCTCATCAGTAGATGAGTGGATTTAAAAAATTTACACAATGGAATACTTCCCAACTGTAAAAAAAAAAATAAAAAAAATTGAGGATCTCTTTCCCTATGTGACATCATGGATGGACCTGGAGATTATTATGCTAAGCAAAATAAGCCAGTTAGAGAAAGACAAATATCACATGATCTCAGTTATATGTGGGATCTATTGAACAAAAATAGGTCCAGAGGCATGAATGCTTGGCTCAGAGGGGAGGCAGGTGGAGGGGATGGGAAGAAAACACTTTCACTTGTTTTTTAATGCACTCTATTTTCATCAAATATTTCTGAGGATACCTACTGGAAATTTATTCTGTTACTGGTATTTATATTTCTTACAAGATCATTTTTTCTTTTAACTTATGTCTCTGATGTGGCAGGCCTTCCCCAATTTTTATGTAGTTGTCCATTATAGTTAAGAATGAGGCATTCAAAGCATGGTTGGGAGACTATATGTGGGCAGGGCTGGCGGACACAGACTGGAGGGTTCCCCCGAGGGGCAGGGAAGCCCTTCTGCTCCGAGACTGATCATTTTCCTGAGCAGAAGTTTTTGGTGTGTTTGTTTGATCAGCTGGTTTTATTGCTGTGGTTGGGGGGGGGGGGGAGAAGCGTTGGGGAGAGTGGACAGTGTATCCCTGGTTCTTGTCTTTTGCTCCAGTGTGGATGGTAGCCTAGCTGGTCTGATAGAAACTTGAACTTGGATGCCCTCTTCCATTCCTGCTTTCTTCTATTGAAGAACAGATTGGCTCTTGGTGTTTCATGTGCCAAGGATGGTTAAGTGGGGCCCTTGGATCTCTTAAAGGCTTATGGCATCCTCTGAATTAAAAAATATATATGTGCAGCCGAAGCGGGTTTGGCTCAGTGGTAGAGCGTCGGTCTGCGGACTGAAAGGTCCCGGGTTCGATTCCGGTCAAGGGCATGTACATTGGTTGCGGACACATCCCTGGTAGGGGGTGTGCAGGAGGCAGCTGGTCGATGTTTCTCTCTCATTGACGTTTCTAGCTCTCTATCCCTCTCCCTTCCTCTCTGTAAAAAATCAATAAAATATATTTTTTAAAAATTGTATATGTGCAGTATGAAAAAGGAAGAAAGTCCACAGCTTTCAGGAGGTTCTCAAGGTGGCTGATGCTCTGAAAGATTAGGAATTGCCAGTGTGGTTCAGTTGGTTGGAGCATCATCCCATACACGGAAAAGTTGTGGGTTCCACTCCTGGTCAGGGCACATTCCTGGGTTGCAGGTTTAATCCTCTGGTTGGGGCATTTCTCTCTCACATCAATGTTTCTCTGTGTGTGTGTCTCTTCCTGTCTCTCTAAAATCAATCAACATATCCTCAGGTAAGGATGGAAGAAATAAAAAAGGGTGTTAAGAATTGCTGGGGTTTTGCTTTCCATTGCACATAGTACGTTATTAAAATTCTGCTTTTACATTCAACAAAGTACAAGGCACATTGACATTTCAGATGTGGTAATAGCTTCTCTCCATACACTTACAGGACAAGAACATGTACAGAAATGAACATTGGAGAAAAGTACATTAGGAAAGGCAATGCTATTAAAGTTTAAAGAAAGATATTACTTCCTACATCTTAGAGAGAATTTAGGTTTTCTTTTTGTTATTTTGGTTTGGTTTAAACAGCATCTGCAATGTTGAAATGATGTACTGTGAGGATAAGCTAGACCATTCATTTATATTGAGCTCTCTGCAACTCTTGAAATAACTAAATATAAAAAAATTTCCCTGGAAGCTCATAGTTATGTAAATATTTTTACCAGCATGGCCACAAGCAGCACAGTCATTCTTGCCACTCCCACCAGTTGCTACAAATAAGGGTAGTCCCTACATAAATATTTATTTTGTGCTTTTGACAGGAAAGAAATCTAATTTTAAACATCAAGAAAGTAAAATTGTCATCATGGTGTATTTCCTTGATGATATAATAAGTGGTTTAGCTTTCCTATTTCGGGGGGGGGGGGGGGAATTAATATAGGATTTTCCTTTTAACAAAATCTTTCTGTTTTTTTCTTCTGATGTGGGAAAAGAATATAAAATTTGGATTAATATTATGCTTTTACCTCAGAAACCTCAAGACCCATTTTGTAGTAAGAACTCAAAACAAAACAAAACAAAACAAAACAAAAAAACCCTAATTGATTTGTGAGTACTTTGGGCAAGTATTAATGGTCATATTTAGGGTGATGTAAACATTATATTTAATGAAAATATTCAAACTTAGGTTCAGAGATCGTTGATGCATTATTTTAGCTCTTTACTGGTTATCTGAGTGTTTACTTAGCACTTTTATGTACTAAATTAACAGTCTGCTTTTTTATTCTAAAAACTTATTTAACTATTAAATAAATCTTAGACTTATCGAAATAAGTTGGGATATCAAAATAGTTTATTAATAATTATAGTTTTTAAATGTATTTTTGTCTTAGGTTACAAATAGAAAATAGTTCAGATAACTTAAGGACTTAATCACAGTAAACTAAAAAAAAAATTAACTTTCTCTTCCTTTTTCCTTAATCAGTGCTAATTAAATCCTACATTACTTTCTTGATATAATTATCTTGGTTTGTCAATAATACTAGTAATATTTTGGTTTATAATATCCAGTGTTTCCTCTTTTCTCTTACAAACATTACCTTTTTTCTTACAGTGTTTTTTTTTTCCTTTTCATTTGACTTCCCTGCTCATTAAAGTGTGGCTCTAACTCATTTTTGTTCTCTTTTGCTTCAATTAACACCTCATAAGAATCTTTGAAATTAATTCCAAAAGTAATGAGTTAGGCCTGATGTAATTTGAGAAAAGAATAAGTCATTGTTGCCCTTCAAATGCTTAATGCAGCTAGAATAGCTGCTAAAATTTAAGTAGAGACAAATTTATTTTTACCGGCTGTTTCACGTGTTGAATTATTATATTAAAACAAAAATTAGGATTTCTTTGGAAAACATGGACATTTTCAAATATGAAACATGGAGAAATTTTCAAGTATAAAATAGAAAAAATAGTCAAATAATCCCCCATTAACCTATCACTCAGCTTCAACAGTGATTCACAAACAGCCAGCCCAGTCTCATCTGTAGCTACCTCACCTTACCCCGTTGGGATTATTGTAAAGAAATTTGTTGGGGAATTTATACAGTAAATCAAAATTTTAATACTAGTTTTATGTAAGAAATGGGCGCCATTTGACATATTTTGGAAGTTCATGTGTATACATGACGTTGTATGCTGTTTATTTAGTAACAGCACTACTGCTCTCAGTAGTGTTTTACTTAAGTTTATATTATTTTCAGAACAAAAGTTTACCAACCAGTTTGAACAATATGATAATAAGATTCAGCTGAGATAATTTTGTTCAGTTTGAAAGTTTGATGATCTCTTTAAAGAATATTAATATGTCAAAATAGATTTGTTGTAACCTAGCATAATATCATTATGTTTATTCTTTTGAATAAGGGCTAATTGTTTGAAGATGTTTTGTTTTATATGTTTGCTTTTAAATACCCATTTGATCTAAGAAAATGTGTAAATAATGACTCATTCCTAGTGGGGGCACACAGGAGGCAGTTGATCAATGTTTCTGTCTCATTGATGTTTCTAACTCTATCCCTCTCCCTTCCTCTCTGTAAAAATCAATAAAAAATATTTTAAAAAAATAAATAAATAGAG